GAACAAAAAAAACCCCAAAAGGAATAATTATCATGCCACCTTCTGTACTTGCTTTTAGCCCAAAAGGCTGAGAGGAGATAGTAATGCCACCTTCTATAAAGCATGAAGGTGCTTTATAACTGTAACATAGTATGCAAATGTTGGCCACTATTATAACTGCAGAGTACCAACATATAGTCATGAGCTACATAATGACATTTGTCAGCGATAGACTGCATATTCTGTGAAGGTCCTGGGCAGCCTAGCATGTAGAAGGCTACAGCATCTAGGCTTGTGTAACTACATGCTACAGTGTTTGCACAACAAAAATGCATAACAATGCATTTTTCAGAATGTATCTCCATTGTTAGCGACACACGACCATATATCAATTCAAAAGTTTCTCCCAATGAACCTCCCTGTGATTTCTAAGCAGACTTGAGAACTCCTAAAGCCATGTTTTCTCATTTCTTTCTATTCCAAAATACTTGGAGTGAAATTTGTTGCACAGGGTTAATAACTGTGTTGTTATGCTTTAGTTTTTGATAAATGTGACTTCTCTTCCAAATGGTATTTAATCATCTGGTTTATTTTAACTGCCTCAGCATGTGTGTGTCTTAATATCTAAAACCTCAAATGCCTTGTGGAAAAAGAAGAGGGTACATTCTATATAAATAATAAAGGACACTGACAGGATGGGAGCAAACATAGCCTCTATGTGTCCTCTTTCTGAAGGTTTGTGAGGCAACATTTGTGACAGTCACATTTCCCTCTTTCTGTAACACATCACCTCATATAAATAAATAAGGCAGAGGACTTTCATTCCAGCCAGTTGTCATAGCAACTTTTGACTATCCAGAGAGGAAGAAATTCTCATATCTTAAGCCCTGACTCAAAAAGAACTAAAAAGACACAACGACTAAAAGCAACATTAAAGAATGATTTACAAGATGAGATAAAATTGGATATTTGCTAGTCCTGTAAATGTATATACTTTTCCCCTGACATATTTACGTTTTCCCCTTGTAGATTTCAGTACTCAACAGCAAGACTAATAATAGCTACCATTAATCACTTATTACATGCTAAGCACATAGAACATCACATACATTGTGTTTCTTTAATACTCCCAATAACACTATATAAGCACAGTACTATTTTTGTTCACATTTTACACATAAGGAAATTGAATGTAGACAGATGAAGCAATTTACAATGTCACATAATAAAGAGCTCATCCTCCCAGCCTTCAATACAACTAACCATTTCTTAGAACATTCTTTACTTTTCTGGTCTTCCTCTTACTTTACTGTCCAAATACTTGTGGCGGACCAGCCGTCACCAGTCGAAAGGTTCCTGAATGGGGGAAAGGAGGACTGAGAAAATAAGACAAAGAGACAGAGTCAAGAGGGCTCCCAAGACCGAGCTTAAGGAAAAAGACACAGAGAGTCGGAAGGGCTCCCAAGACCGAGCAAGCAAGTTTATTTTCACCTCTCTTTTATACACTCAGTGAGTTAGGTCATTAACCATGACCTTTATCCAAAACACCTGCTTCGTTGTTTGCCAGTTCTTTGGGAATTCCCCACCCTCATGGGCTTCCTTGTTTCTCGGGCTTACAGAACGTTCATCACGTTCCAGGGCAATCTAATTCGGCAAGTACGTGGTTCCTCATAACATAGTCTCCTTGCTCTATGTTATGGAGGGTAAGATTAAACATGGATCCTCTATGGCTAACACCGCTCTCCACAGCTAACACTGCTCTCCACAAATACTTTGCTGGCTCTATTGCTTTTGCCTGATCTGTAAAAGCCTAAGACTTTCACTATTCTCTAACCAGATGATGTCTTCCTTTCCTATGGCTTTAAATGCTTTCTGTGTACTGATCATTCCCAAATGTGCATCTCCTGCCCAATGCTTCAAATGTACTTCAGATTCATGTATGTAATCTCTTGCTGAACACTTTGATCTCTAACAGATATTTTGAAGGTAATAAATCTAAAATAATTCTGACCTTCCATTTCTCTGTCTCAGTAAATGTCAGCACTACCTAACCCAGATGTTCAAGTCAAAATCTTCAGGAATCATCTTGATTTCTCCCTTCCCTTTGCACCCTCCCATTGCTAGTATATTAACAAGTCAAGTCAGGTTTATCCATAAATCCTATCTTCAAACTGGTTTTCATCTCCATTGCCACTTCTTTAATGAAAGCCCCATTTTTCCTAGACTCCTAAGCAGTAACTTTCTAACCAATCGCTTTCCTTGCCTCCAAAGAATAGCCAGAATGGGCCTTCAAAATGATAAATCAGATCATGCAAGTTTTAAAGCCTCCAATGGCTCTCCATCACTCTTAGAATAGGATTTGAACTTCTGATTATAGCCTGGACAGCTTGGCATGATCTAGTTTCTGCTTCCTGCTCCTGGCTTCTACAATTGTTCCCTTCCATCATTGTACTTTAGCTACAGTGTTCTTTCTTTCAAACACATCAAGCTTTTTATTTTTACTTGGATCTTGCAGTAAGAATAGTATGAACTATGTCAAACTTCTGTCAGCTCATCTTCCTCACTGGCTCTTTTTCATCATTCAGGTTTCAATTCAAATAACATCTACTTAGAGATTACCTTATTTAGATTTGCCATCTGTTTTGACTTTCAATCACATCCCTGTTACTTCCTTAATAGCACTTAATAACACGTATCAGAAATCTTCGTTATCGCCATCTGCTATTAGTGTAAGGCTCCATAGGATCAGGGAAACTTTTTCTTTGCTACATTCTCAAAGTTTAGGAGCACATGCAAGGGGCTCAATAAACACTCAGGGAAGGAAAGAAAAAAGGCGAAGAGAAATTCAGTGCCAGAAATACATGCCAGAGTTGTTTTATTCCGGCGTTGCTTTTTAACTACCTCCCTATTGATGGGCTTCAGGACACACTCTCCCAAAATATTGGCATCGCGGCTTTTGAGGAGTCAGCAGAAGCCAGGGTGTCACTCTCACCTTTCCCCTCAACCTTTTTCCTCAAAGCAGGCCACAAAAATCTTCATTCTGGAGGTGACCACCCTATCCCCAGAGAAAATTAAGGTTCTTATATGTGAAAATACAGGGTCACAGAGAAAAATCAAAATAGGCCTTGGTAAATTTCCTCCATGTTAATTATAATTACCTACCCTTTTGACCAATTGTACTTCTGTACAGCTGCGCTCTTCCATCAATCCCACATATAAAAATATACAGGACTGCCATTCTTTTGGATCTTCATTTCTAAAGGCTCCCAGGACACATAAACCACAATTCTTAAATTTGTATGCTTTTCTTTCTCTTTGAGCATAATAGTTTCACTGTGACATTTTCATTCCTACATGCAACATAATTTGATTGTATCCTCCCTCTTTCTTTGGTTCCTTTCCTCCTGCCAGATAGGCCCCCTTCTATTTTCATCATCTTTTCCCCTAGACCCCGCATGCTTGTCTTCCTGAGTTTATTTCCCTTAACATCATGTTCTCCAGTTCCATCCATTTTGCTGTAAATGACATGATTTTGTTCTTTCTTATGGCTGAATATTGCTCTGCTGTGTGTGTATATATGCTCTTCTCTTGTTAATCTGTCTCTCCTTATAGGCGCCTCAGTCATGAACCAAGTGATGGATTAAAAGAAAGACTTCTTCTCTCCTACATGTATTTTAGCTTTTCACAATGATTTCCAGGTTTGCTATTTTGATATAACTCTAAACTGATGTCTGAATCCCCCAAAACCCTGTGTATGAAATGGTGATGAAAGAGACACGCTGTGAAAGAATCAAAGTGAAAAGACTCTCAATTTAAATATACATTTTTCTTCTGCAAGCTCTTTTATTATTGGGGGTAGGAAGACAAAAGAAAGAAAACTACAGTTCAGCTTTTATTCCCTCAGCAATGAGGGTCAAATTCCTTGAAAGAACTCAACGTATTCCCTACCACATTCTTCTCCCCCAAATTCCAAGATGCTTACAATTAAGTAGTTTTCAAATAAAGAACATCACTAACATCCAAAATGTTAACTTTGAGGTTTGAATTGATCAACCCATTGTCTCTTATCCTCACTCTTTATTTATTGGCACTAAAACTAGACCACAACAAAATATGACGAAGAAAGACAGGAGCAAGGCACAGATAACCTGGACATAAGGACATGAAAGGCAAGTGAGCAAATTAATGGACTTTCTTCACAGCTGATTCCTCCACACTGACCCCGGGTTAGTATGAAGTTCAGGCAGAAAAAGGAAAAATAATACAAGGACATTTTCCCACAGGAATCTAGTTTTAAATTATACACGTTTCTAAAGGGTTTGAATCTCAAATATCTCACTCTACTTCTAGCACCCAAAAGATGCATGCCAAGGCCTGAGAGAAATAAATTGTTATAATTTGCATGTTAGTTGGCTTTCAGTAGGCTTGGCTCTTAAGCCTTTTAAATGTCAAGGATTTTAGCATTGAAACACTTAGCTTTCAACACCCTAGAAACTCGCAATGCTAATGTTTTTGTTTTGTATTTTAACAATTCTTTGGCTGAAGGCTTTCATCTTTGAAACACTTAAATTCCTAATAAGTAAAAAACTTGCAGGGGGTTTGAAGAGCTTGGGCCATAATGATGGGCTGAAAATTAATTTTATTCTTGACCTTCATATTGACTTGCTGTGACCTTGCAAAGATGCTTTATCTTCCTGCACTTTCAGGGGTTTTTTAAAATTATAAAACATAAAAAAATATATTATTTTGAGCTCCTTGGATAAAATGGACAAGCCCAGCATGGTTATTTGTAGATGTACTCATATCAAATCCAGTTATGTAAATGCTATTTTAAAAGATCTTTCTAATTCTGTACTGTCTGATTTCTAAGACTCATACAAAGAAAACAAAATTTAATTTGATACTCTGTCAAAATCTAATATTATATCTGCAGTTTCCTTTCAATTATTGGAGTGAAAGAGCCTTAGTAAAATTGAAATAATAAAATCTCAAGAGTTAATTTTGTCTTCTATTCTTCACAGAACCATCTCTCTCTACTCTGCATGAAAAGTTTTTATTATTTGATGCCCTATCCTTATGCTTCTGGCCTTGGATTTACAAACACCACATTTTTATATGAAAAGATATTTTATACAAGAAAAAATACAGACACCAAAAGAATTAAAACTAGTTTCTCTGGTAAGAAAGAATGCAAACTAAAATTAGATAGCCTTTTTACTTTTTCCTTTGATGAATATTAAAATCAATATTGGTAATGTGCTGGGAATATGGGCTCAGTGGTAAAGCACTTGTTTAGCATCCACAAGATCCTGGGTTCAATCCCTGGCACCACAAAAAATAGGCAAATACTTAAAAATTAAACTTTTCAATATTGGCTGAGGTATAAAGAAACAGATGTTCATATATTGCTTTTAAGAGTATGAATTGATAAGGCCTTTGTAAGGAACAATTTGACAAAATCTATCATAAGTTTAAAATTGTGCTTGAGTAGCATGGTAGTACACAAAGATACAAACAGAATATCAAGTGGCAGTGGGAATATATACTCATTGGAACACCTATAAACTGTTAATGGGAATGTCACTAGTTAACGTGGATCTTTAGCCACATGTAAGATGAATATCAGACATGGACTAGTTCTAAAGTGAAAATAAAATAAAAGTTTATAATAAGAAAGAAATATAGCTGGCTACTCCACAGAGCAGCCCTGGACAAAAGGTACATCTCATATTTATATCTATGGGGTCTCACACCCTTTTTCTTTTCTTTTTTTTTTTTTAGGATTTCAGGCACCTTTATTTGTGGCAGATGTTTTTGGCCAGGGGGGCTTGCCCCTGAAGCCTGACATTTAAGGAAGACACTATCCTTCCATCCAAGAGCAGCCCTATCACCTCTGCTTGCCACTCATGAGGCTTGGAAGCATCCTGCACACAGGCTTCTGCTGGCCCTGCCCAGGTGGAGTGGGGCATTGCAGGGCGAGCTCAGGTCTTACCATTGGCCTGATCACAGGGCTTTGCAGTTGGAGAACAATCGTGGCAACTTCATTTTCTTACAGAAAAATCTGACTCCTCTGTGTTCCTCATATAATTTATAAATAGGAAAAATATTTAATATTAAGTTTATAATATAAATAAGCCTGGTGATACAGGAAACTTAAAAAGAAAAATCATACTGTTTTAATTAAGGGTTTCCCTTTAGGAGGGACCATACCATCCCTCAACTGTTTCGGTCATCCACGTTTTTGTTGCGACACACCCTTTTTCTTAACAACCTGCTTCCTTATCTCAGGAAATGCATCAGCTTGCTTCTCTGATTAAACATTTGCTCCCCTCTGAAGTGTGGGGCCTTGTTCCTCTGATTAACCATTTGCTTTACCCCCCCTATTATTGCTTAAAGTGCAGATGCCCATTTGCTTTTTACCAGGCAGCTACTTCAAAATCCTGCCAATTGCCCTGTCTCAGGAATGTAAGCTGGCACAATCACTTTTGGGGGAAAAAATGCCATGATCTGATAGGCTGAAGAAGTGTTTGTTTTATGATCAAGCAGTTCCACTCCTGAGCATGTCTTCAAGAAAAATTCTTGCACATGTGTTTCTATCCACACTGTCTATATGACCAAGAAAGCAGAAACAATCCTAATTATCTATCAACAATGCAATAAACAAATACAACAGTGAAAATAAATGAATATAGCTACACACACTGACATGGATGGTCTCAGAAACACTGTGTGGTGAGGAAAAAGCAAGTTGCAGAATGATATATATATGGTATGATTTTGAAGGATACCAGAATATACCACCTCCAAATATGCCTCCTTAGCATATGGATTATTTTGAGCTGAAGGCAATTGAGAATCAGCAGTCTTAGGTAAAGCTCTTTACCATCCCCTACTACTTTAAAATATGGTATAAAATCCCTCTTTTGTAAAGAAAGTTTACATTTATAAAGGAAATATACCTTTGTAAAAGGTGTCTCCTCACCAGGAAGTAAGCTACTGGCAGACACAATTGTTATCATCTGAAAGACTTACCTGGATAACAAGACAACATTTATTACCACACATTTCCTCCGTACATTTCTTTCCAATAACTTGCCTCCTCTAGCCACAAGCTCCCAAACCCCCTTTCCTTTTTGTGTAGCTTCAGGTGGTATATAGGTCTCAGTCAGCTAGCCACCTCCTCGTATCTCTTTTCCTAGGGAAACTCCCATGTAAGTACAGAACTAAAACTTTGTTTTTCTCTTATTAATTTGTATTTTTATTAGTTTGATTCACATGCCCAGCCAATGAAAGTTAGGAGCCTAGAGGGTAAAATTTCTCTCTCTCTCTCTCTCTCTCTCTCTCTCTCTCTCTCTCTCTCTCACACACACACACACACACACACACACACACAATTCCATTTGTATAAGTTCAAAAACATGCAAAATTAATTCATATATTGTTTGGAAAAATAAATACAATATATATGATAAAACTAAAAGCAAGGTGATAACAGAAATTGAGGATAGTGGTTACTTCTGAGGCAGAAAGAGGACAAGATTGGAGAGAGCACACAGAGAACTTCAAAGGTAGTGATAATGTTTTTTTGTTTTTGGTTTTGTTTTCCTTAAAATTGGTAACAAGTTAAGAGGTTTTTGGTGTGTGTATGTGTGTGTGTGTGTGTTTAATGTCATACATGCTTTTGTGTCTAATCAATGTTTAAAGTAATTTAAACTTAAATGTCCAAAAACTAGTTATAAATTAATATGAATAGAATGATTTTAATTTATGGAACATCTGTTTCTATTATGTGCATAAACAGCAATGAAAGATGTCTATAAGGACATATATTAATCATATACTATAATAAACATCTATATGGACATGTATTAATCAATCTTATTACTTAGTAATTGAGTTTGATCTGATTTTGTTGTCCTTATTTTACTTTACTATATTATTTGTTTTGTTCCTATAAAGGACATGTGTTCATTTTTTAATAAAGACAATAAAGCTGTGGTTTTTTTTAAAGATGCAACTATTGGAATGTTCATAATATATATTACATATTGTCCAGTTAAAAATTAACCTTACTTAAATTAAGGCACAAACTTTGTTCTCAGTCCCTGGGAGGTACTCTCTAAGCCCTGCCTGATAAGAATTTCTTTCTCTTTCTTGAGAGCATTGGGCCATTCCAGATAGTCCATAGTAACAATTATACTAGGGGCTTTGGGACATACGGTGTCACTTCAACTCCTGGAGAGGCTAGAGGCTAACATCATGAACTATGGCACTAAGGCATGAATTATGTCTATGTGTCTAAGCAGCACTATAAACTCTGGACACCAAACTTCTCTGGTTAGTCATTCCCCTTGTGTATTGCTGCATCTTCTTTCTGGGAGGGATTGGTAGGGTTGTCCACAACTCTACTGGGAGAAGACAACTGGAAGCTTCATGCTTGGAATTCTTCAGGACTCCTCTCAATACACATTTCTCTTAGTTAATTTTAACCTGTATCCTTCATTGGACTAATTAATAATCATCAGTATAACAGTTTTCAGTGAATCTTTCTGGAGATTATTGAAACTGAGAGTAGTCTTGGGGATTCCTAAACCTTGGAGTTGATTTGCTACAATAACCCTAACTCATTATGATTTGAGAAGAAACGAGAAGACAAGAGTTGATGAGCTTTTGAGATCTTGATAGCTACTGAGTTGCCTAAATTATGCAACTGCAGATATGCTGTAATCACTTACTAGAGATGAAAATAACCAATGGAATTTAGAAATGATGGATCCAACTCCCAAGGAATTGACTTACTAGGCATATAAGGATATGCAAAGTAACAAGAAACAAGTTCAATATACAATCTTTTGGTTATTCTGGTTATTAAAATAGTGTTGGGTGGTTCCTGACATGGTATGAGCCAAGTTTGGACTCTTCCCAGTCCAAGCAATAGCCCTAGCCTCAGAGATGGCCAAAGGGAAAATTACACCGAAACATCAAAAGGTTAGGAAAATTTGAGTGATTTGGAAGAGATTAAGAAAAGACAAAGGTGAGAGATGAAAGATTCAAAAATCTTAAACAGTTACTAATAAAAGGATTCATAAAGTGAACATTGATTAGAATGTTTGAATGGAATTTATGTGAAGTGACGATGCCTCCTTTACTTAAATGTATCATGAGGGTAGAAACTGTGGCTAAATAAAACATAAAGCATGTCAATTTGTCCACCAAACAATATTGATTACACATTTCAAATAAGAACTGTAATACTACCAAGGCCACAGAAGTTGATCATTTGAAACAGTATAGGATATTAGAGGGCAAAAAAAGATTACCACTCTACATTTATGTTAGAAGCCTAATGGCTGGTCTTTTTATTTGGATGTTAGAGACCATGTATTCCACATCTGGGAATATTGTTAGCTTCTATCCATAAAACTACTCAAAGGAGATTGTATTTGAATAGGCTATGTCTGAATTGCAGAGTGCTCTTTTCCTCTAGGGGGAGAGAGAGAGAGAGATCTAGGGTATTGGGCCCTTATGATCCACATTTATATATGATTTTGAAAATGCTTACATTACATACTTTAAAAAAACTGGAACTTAGGACAGGCCCCTCTGAGTACCATCCAGCAATGGCCACTGGGATTTTGAACCAAATAATTTTCATTTGAGAGACAATCATTACCATGCTTTTGAACTTTAACCGGACTGAGGACATAAATCCTGAAACCAGAAATACCCATATGCATTGTGATATCAGAGAAGCATTCTAAAAAGTAGGGGAGTACCAAGAAAAATTTCATAATAAAATAGAAATGATCTAGGCAAACATGTTACTGGGGAAATACAAGGTTGTAGTCATTGCACTCCCAACAGGTAGACCCTTTCTCTCCATGGTTGACTTTGGCACCACCTGAAGAGCTTTCAGATACTGTAATCAGATGAGTGGTGTCTATGAACTGCTTTCTATTCACCAACAAAGAGCTGGTTGGTTTATGGATGGGAGTTCCCATGTGAACAGATAACATACTGTCTAGAAGGCTGCCATTCTCATTAAAGAAGGTACCAACAAGTACCAGCTCAGTGGCCTGAATCGTATACCACTCCCCCTATGTTTGGATTTTTACTGACTCATAGGTAGTAGCTAAAGGTTTGGTCTTATGATCAAGCAGATGGAAAACTAGACTGTACATAACAGGGACACCCATATGGGGTACAACCCTATGGAAAGCACCATAGCAACTTAAAGAATGTAAGATGGGTTGATGGCTATTGGAAGACCTTCCTCCAGGACCAGAAGTTGACTGGAACTGGCAAACAGATATCCTGGTTAAGAAGCTTCAGATGGCCTCATAGGCCTATGAGATAAGTGGAAATGAGGGAGCCAGAGCAATTTAGAGGTGGGGTGAATCTAGACACATTCCTCTTGTGTCCCCTGAGCCACAAAATGTCAATAAGAACTGTACTGTTTGCCAAGGGAGACAGAGACTACAGATGACAATGGGAAAGCCCCAAATATAGGTGGCAAGTCATGCATATTAGCTGGTAGCCCCAGGATTACAAATGGATCCTGACAGAAATAGACACTCATTCTGGTCTGAGTGGTGGATTAACTAATGGCCAACTTGGAACACCCGCTGAGCTGAATCAACCTGGTCCGGGCATGGAAGATCTACTTGAGGATTGTTGCCACTGGCCATAAAAAGAGAACTGGAGGGAAGATCTTGCCTGTTGATTTTCTAGGAGAAGCTTGCTGCTGCAGTTGGTTTTCCTGATGTGAATTTGGTTGTTCTCATCGGAGAAGGAGCTCAGGGCCTCACTGTCACTGGGAATGGCTGCTGTTCTCGTCAGGGGAGCTCTGATTTTCACTGTGAGCATCACTTCCTGGCTCCAATGTGGATCCCTGAGCCTGGTGGCACAAATCCTTCATCTCACCGGCATAGGTTTTCTGGCTTCCACCACTGGCCTTTGGGCCTTCCAGGTGCTGATCCTCAATACGGACAAGCATGAGACATTGCCGTGGGCTCTAGGCCACTGGCTGGACTTATGGAGGACACTGCCTTGGACTCCAA